ACTATCATACAACGTGTGCACTCCTCAACATCACATATTATATTTGTTAATTGCTCAACAATTTGTATCTCAATTTACTAAACATGCTCTTTTATTTTGATTTAAACTTCCAGGTTCAACAACTACCGAATAGTGTGACTTATACTGATTTCGTCCATACCTTGGACATGGCTATTCAAATAGTTTGACCTTGTAGAGATCAGACACTATGTACCCATACGACAGAACATCCTCCGCGGGGATGCCCTGCCAAGATTATCCATAGCCACACCTTTTTACCACATACAGTAGTAAGGACACGAATCTCACTTTGAGTGAGAGTGGCTGGACATTATCACCTTAATATACTCGTGATATCAAATATCCCCTCACTCGGGACTCTATCAAAGTATTCAACTTGACGTGTCAAATATCTCATCAGGTTAGCATAAGTCTGGACGGATGAGGTCACACTTCCCGCTCAACCCGCTCTATGGGAAACATCAATAAAAGAGTGACCAAATGCCTAATCAAGATCTCCCAGCAAATTGTATGGTCGTACCGATTTAATCGGTTCAGTGGCACTATGACTTGGTCTAGCAGATTGAGGAAGTTATTATTAAGTTATATTATGTATCAATTTATCTTGGGATCAAGGGCCACTTGAGAAAGTTCATGGTTCTAGGGGAGAGTGCTTGCCAAGTTACCAAGTTTATTCACCAAATATCCAAATAAAATCCAAGAAAGTCAAAGCTGTCAAAAAGAAAAAAGCAGGGAGGTAGATTCACTGGAAAAATATTAAATGTTGGACAAAGCACTCCTCCTCGCAGGAAAATGAACACTATTCTTTTAGTATCATTACTATACTATATTGCTAGGTAATTGCCCGTGTGTTGCAACGGGTACAAGTATTCTAGTATTTTAGCACGTGATTTACCAGTGTATATTAATGTGAAGTGTAAATAAATGTTTAACAAATCTTGCCCGTAATTAACCTGCCTATATTTTAGGATTTTATTTCGTAATCACTTATTGATTTTCCAAAGAAATCATAAATTTATTTGGTAAGTCAATAAAAGATGAGACAATTAAGGTGGGTTTCAAGGAATGATGTTTGGTGATAGAATGGAAGGTTGGACGAAGCACTCTGGCAGGAAATGGAACACTATTCTTTTTATAAGTAGTAGAGAAGTAATAATAAGTAGTAGAGATATTAGTTCCATCTTAAGCCAAACTTTGTAAGGTTTGATATAATTTATGGATGTGGTTAGATCTCAGTCAACTGAGGCTTAACCAAGTCTCAGTTAAGTGATAGTATATAAGAAGAAGAAAAAGGGGGAAACTAGAAAGGAATTTTTTGTACGAATCTCCATGCAAGGTCAAAGGAATATAGCATCGACTGAGACTTAACGAAGTCTAAGTCAACTGAGACTTAGCAAAACTGATAATTTATATAAAAACATAGAAATATCTGCAATACCAGATAAATATAATATGGACAATACATTTTATGAGGGATCAAATGCTATTGATTTACCATTGTGAATGTTGACATTTTTCTAAAAATTTGGTCATACTTCAAAAGAATAAACTTAGAGAAAAACTAATATGTAAAAAAACCCGGAGGAAGTTCATTTTTCTATAAATTTGGCCATACTTCAAAAGAATAAACTCAGTTAAGCAGAAAATAACTTTTCTTTGAGCGTGTAAATCAAGTAGGCCTAGTGTCGATGTTGAGAACAGGCTTGGTTTCAACATGGATGTTTTATGCCAACATCGAGGCTAAATTTCATGTTTTGACCCTTTTCCCAAACTTATTCAAGATCTGACCCTAGTTTGAAATTTTTTCGAGATCTGACCCTTTTGCTACCGCCAGGGACCATGGCGGTAGGGTATAACAGCCTACCGCCAAGGACCCTGGCGGTAGGGTTGCATGCCCTACCGCCCAAAACCTCCTAAGTATTGAACACAATGCGTGCTCGTGCCTACCGCCAAGCACCTTGGCGGTAGGGTTATGCAAGTTACCGCCAACCCGTTTGGTGGTAGCAATGTTTACTACCGCCAAAGTCCCTGGCGGTAGGCTGTTAGAGCACCTCTAGCAGACCCCGCATCCCGCCGACCCACAAAACATGCTTGCAGTTCGTGAAAAAAGGCTTTGCGGGCCGGCACGGACGGCCGCAGATGCAGACCCCGTATAACGGACCCGTATTCGCGTATATTCTTTCCTGTGTCTTCTTCCTCTCGTCTGTGTTCATAGTCAGCTCCCGTCGTCCATGGTAGTCGCCGAATCGATCCCAGGAGGCAGCTCCTCCGTTGCCGGATGGATCCAGGAGCTAGCTAGCTATTCCATGGCCGGCTGGATCGAGGATCTTGCTAGCTACTCCCTCAACGTTCGTGGCCGGATGGATCGAGGACCTTGCTAGCTAGCTAGCTTGCTCGTTCGTGGCCGGATGGATCAGGAGCTTGCTAGCTAGCTCGTTCGTGGCCGGGTAGCGGTAAACGGCGAGTTTCCGGCCAGATTCTGGTGAGTTCCGTGGCGGCAGCGGTAAACGGCGAGATTCCGGCGAGTTCTGTGGCGGAAGGTCACCGGAGCACGTGTGCACACGGCGGAATTTCCTTGTTGCGTAGCGTTGACCGGTTTACAGTTTTCCTTATATTTTACCTCCAAATCTGCAAAATTAAGGGTCATGAGATGGATTCTCAGGGGCTGCATAATTTTTACGGGTTTGACCGCTTTTGCGGGTTCTATTCGGGACGTTTTTTGACACCACGAAACTGCAAATGCGGATTTTTGCAGGTTTGACCGCTTTTGTGGGGTCTGCTAGAGATGCTCTTAGACCCTAGCGTCATGGACTCTGGCAGTAGCAAAAGAGTCAGATCTCGAAATTTTCAACCTAAGGTCAGATCTCAAATAGGTTTCAAAAAGGGGTCAAAACACGAAATTTAGCCAACATTGACAGGGTTTGATGCTAGGATAATTGGTCATGGATGACGCATCACCATCGTTGCTGCAAGTTGCAGCTGCATAATTTTGACCCATGAGCCTCCACCTTTCTTGACCAGATGAGCAGCTTAGCCGCCACTACAGTCGCCACCTGCCACTCTCTTCTCCCCTTCCCCCGGCCACAGGATCCACTCTCCTACCCTTACTCAAAGTCGCAACTAGCATGGATGCGACGTGGACAGATTGAATCTCACACCATTTTTACATATTATATACACTCTCACTGATCCCATGGCGTGTGCAGTGTGCTATATAAATTAATGGATGCCTCCACCTCAACCGCTCATCTCCCTTGATCAAAGATCAGAGCTCAGGAGCTCGCAGCAATGGAGCCGCAGGCCGAGCCCAAGCCCATCCCGCTGATGACGCCGTACAAGATGGGCGCGTCGCTAGACCTCGCCCACAGGGTGGTGCTGGCCCCTCTCACGCGGCAGCGCTCCTACGGCAACGTGCCGCAGCCGCACGCCGCCGTCTACTACGGGCAGCGCGCCACGCCCGGCGGCATGCTCATCACGGAGGCCACGGGGGTCTCCGACACGGCGCAGGGGTACACCGACACCCCTGGCGTCTGGACGGCGGAGCAGGCCGAGGCGTGGCGGCCCGTCGTCGACGCCGTGCACGCCAAGGGCGCCCTCTTCTTCTGCCAGCTCTGGCACGTCGGCCGCGTGTCGAAGTACGGGTTCCAGCCCGGCGGCGCCGCGCCGGTGTCGAGCACGGAGAGGATGGTCGGGCCGCAGGTCAGGCACGACGGCTCCACCAAGGAGTTCTCGCCGCCGAGGAGGCTGGCGGCGGAGGAGATCCCCATGATCGTCGACGACTTCAGGAAAGCCGCACGCAACGCCATCAACGCCGGTACCTACATGAGAACATATACTGTGTTCTCTTCTGCTTTGCATTTTACACTCTGCTTTCCTCTGCTTTTGATCTAAAACTCTGCTTTCCTCTGCTTTCCTCTGCTCGTTGATGGGCCAGGATTCGACGGCGTCGAGATCCACGGCGGCAACGGGTACCTCATCGAGCAGTTCCTCAAGGACAGCGCCAACGACCGGGACGACGGCTACGGCGGCAACCTGGAAAACCGGTGCCGCTTCGCGCTCGAGGTGGTGGACACCGTCGCCAAGGAGGTGGGTGCCCACCGCGTGGGCATCCGCCTCTCGCCCTTCATGGACTACATGGACTGCCACGACTCCGACCCACACGCGCTCGGCCTTCACATGGCCACGAAGCTCAATGACCACGGCATCCTTTATCTCCACATGATTGAGCCCCGGATGGCCCTCGTCGACGGCCGGCGCGTGGTCCCGCACCGCCTGCTGCCCTACAGGGAGGCCTTCAAGGGCACCTTTATTGCGAATGGCGGGTACGACCGGGAGGAGGGGGACAAGGCGGTCGCATCGGGGTATGCCGACCTCGTCTCGTTTGGGCGGCTCTTCCTTGCGAACCCAGACCTGCCGAAGAGGCTAGAGCTCAACGCGCCGCTTAACAAGTATAATAGGTTGACGTTTTACATCTCCGATCCCGTCGTCGGCTACACCGACTACCCGTTTCTTCCTTGATGTGTCATTGAACCATGAATAATGATTGATCCATATATTGCCATGTGAAATTCAAACGGAACCTTTTCTTTTTCTCGGCCCTTCCCTTTTCCCCACATGTACAATGTGGCTTTCTTATGTACAATTTTTCCGGCTGTATAGAAGTCGCAAAATTCCGAGTGTTTAAGTTTTGAAAGATTAAATTTGAAAATATTGAAAGATCAAGTTTCAAATTTTCGAATTCCAAAAGTTTGGAAGTGTCAAATTATTGTTGGAAAATCCCAAGGCCTGGCATTTATATAATTTGATTTTACAGGACAATTTAGATGACCCTTGTAGCCTATATGCAATATGCTAGAAAGATATTGTAGTTTTACTATCCATTTCTTAGCAATACACACAGCTCATTTATTCCTGTTCCAGGTATACATCGGTGTTGTCTGCACCAACACAACACAAACTCTCCTTCACAAACTACAAATTCATAACCGGAAATCAGAAATAGCAGTTTTTGCATCTAACCCTATGGAGAAATAATGCTTCATGTAATCTCTCACAAGAGTTTCCCTATACAATGGTTTGTTCTCTTCAGACAACAGCTCCTTGATCGGACCATACATCCTCGTCGAGGCTGGATGGAAATGCGTGCTGAAGAAGAACGCGATCGAGACCCTAGGGGCAGCGTTCTTCGCCAACACCCTATGCTCCACACTCCTGAACCCGTCATTGGAGATCAGCTGCACATTTTTTTTAACAAAATACATATAGTTCAAAATGATCAAGCATTGCTTATTTGTTAAACAAACGATTTAGGATTGGATGGACACGATTTATATACCTGTAAGAGATCACCGATGTTCACAATGAATGCTCCGGGTGTGGGCGTGACATCTACCCAACGGTCCTCGTTGAAGATCTGTAGTCCGCCGACTTCATCTTGGAGGAGTACGGTCAGGAAGCCGGCATCTGAATGCCGGCTTGTCCCGATGGCGAGTTCAGGCTGAGGGCAAGGAGGGTAATAGTGGCAGATTAAGATCTGTCCTTGGTCGCACTCCAGTTCTGTTAGGTAGCTTGGTTTGAGCCCAAGAGCTTCGGAGAGCAGCTCAAACAAAGTCTTTCCCAATTTATTAACTTGCTCGGTATATTCAAGCAGTGCATCACTGCAAATCAACATTGTAGTCCCAATAGATCAGATCAAGAGTGATTCCTCGCTAGTGCCGAGTGATTTTTAATAGAACATCTTTTTGCTGCGAGGAATCGAAAATTCTTCACTTTCTATCGAACATCTTTTTGCTGTGAGTTTTCAGGAAAAAAAAGATGTTCAATAGAAAGTAAAGAAATTTTGATTCGTGGGAGTAAAATTATTTTCTATAGAAAGTAATTTCGTTGCAGAACTTATCCCTGGTCATTTTTGTGAATAACCAAGGAAGAATTCACATTAACAACAATACATACTCCTTGCTTGTATAAACTGTACCATCTGTACTAACTGTGGATTGCTACGGTTGTAAAAAAAGAAGAGAAAGAGGGCAACTGGCCAGAGAAAAATAAAGATTGCAAATAGTATCTCTCGGTCACTGAGAAAATCAGAGAATAGATAATCAATAGTAAATCAGTAAATTTTATCAACCTACTATGGTTCGACAAGAGGTATTTTGTTGTGTTAGCAGTAGACAAAATGAGTACTAGAGTCTCATATGATTGTCAATTACAATTTATGAGAAGAGAATTGTGTGTAATTTCTACTACCATGTATCTTAATATGAGACGCTTTTGCAGTTTATCGCTCGCACTCACCGGCAGCTCTCCGGTATGTCGCCGACGTCGGGCGGGTCAGGGGCCATGCGGATGTGGAGCGTGTCGCGCCAGTTGGCCACCGGCGACTCGTAGAGGTCGAAGTTGCACTGGTACTTGACCGGCTTGACGGGGTCACGCGAGTAGAGCCGCGCCTTCTCGGTGCCCTCGCCGCCGTCGGCCGCGTGGAACGCCCGCACCGCGTCGGTCGCCGCGGCCATCGCAGCCTCCGGCACGGCGTGGCCTGTCACCTGGAAGAACCCGCACCCCGCCGCGGCCTGGCGGACGGCGGCAACCACGGCCGCGTGGTCGCCGCACCCGAGGTCGATCACCGGGATGGCCCCTGGTTCTTCTTGGCGGCCACTGCCTGCGACGACGGTGGTGTCCTGTTTGTCGTGGTGGCCTTCAGGGACGCGGAAGATGCGGGGGACGTGCGTGAGGCCGGAGGCGACGAGGCCGCTGACGCCGGCGAAGGTGGCGTCCAGCGCGCGGAGGTCGGCCGCGCGGTCGTAGGCAACGGGAGAGGAGGCGGACGACTCCGACATGGTTGGTGGCGTGGGTGTCATCGGCTTGGCGGTTGGAGTGCTCTTATCTGCTGTTGCTGCTCGTGCTAAAAATGTGCCGCGACAGCAGCGACGGGGAAGAGACGAAAGGGCCGGCATCAGCGGCGATGGATGCAGGCCACCAACTACGGTGCCTGCTGCTGCGGTGGCTCCCCAATCTTATCCTACGCATTTTGGGATGTAAACCTCAGCGTACACGTGGATATTCTTTTTCAAAATTAAACGATCTGCCTATCAATGATAAAAACTACATTTATATTAACGTTTTTGACACTAGTGAACTGTCATAAACACTCTTATATTATGAGACGGAGGGAATACATCAGATCTAACAAAAACAAAACAACAGGAGGCCAAGATAAAACACAAAATTACATGAAAGTCCTCCATAGTCATCGACTCTAGCTGCGATCTCTCACAGCTCGACTTTTCTTCATACATCTCATAAAGAAACCGCAGTAGATCAAACCTGCACAAGCTGAACTCATCTCAAAGGTTTCAAAGAGCCGTATTAGCTGCCCACCCCAATAGGCGAGAATATAAGATCGATTGACACACTATTGCCCGGGACACACGCTTGCAAGACAGGTTGTCGAACTGTTGCTTCGTAGTCATACTGTCAGGGAAGACTTCAGGAAAGCAACACGGAACGCAATCAACGCCGGTACGTACATGAGAACATAATATACGCTTCTCTCCTCTGCTTTGCATTTTACACTCTGCTTTCCTCTGCTTTGCAACTCTCTGCTTTGCTCTACACGCCGACGGGCCAGGTTTCGACGGCATGGAGATCCACGGCGGCAACAAGTACCTCATCGAGCAGTACCTCAAGGACAGTGCCAACGTTGGGGACGACGGCTATGGGGCGGCCTAGAGAACTGATGTCGCTTCGTGCTGGATGTGGTGGTGGCCATCGCCAAGGAGGCCGATGCCCACCACGTGGGCATCCGCCTCTCGCCCCTCATGGACTATATGGACTGCCATGACACCGACCTACAGGCACCTGGCCTCCACATGGCCTCGAAGCTCAACGACCACGTCATCCTCTACCTCAACATGATCGAGCCCTGTATGGCCCTTGTTGAAGGCCGACTAGTGGTCCCGCACCGGCTGCTGCCCTAAAGGGATGCCTTCAATGGCACCTTTATCGCGAATGGTGGGTATGACCGGGAGGAAGGGGATAAAGCGGCCACGTTGGGGTACACCGACCTCGTCTCGTTTGGGTGGCTCTTCCTCGCAAACTCAGACCTGCCGAAGAGGCTAGAGCTCAACGCGCGGCTTAACAAGTACAATAGGATGAAGTTCTACATCTCCAATCCCATCGTCGGCTACACCGACTACCCGTTTCTTCCTTGAAGTCTCATTCAACCACGAATAATGATTAATATTGTGTCATTTGTTTTTTTATATATTGTGTCATTTCTACCGTGTATAACATGTCATTGTCTCATTCTCATGTGAATTTCAAACGAAACTTTTTCTCTTTTTACCCGCGTAGGCTTCATGGTACAGGTAGTTTTTTATTGTAAAATTTTTTCGACCGTGAAAATCTCGCAACATTATGGGCGTTTAATTTTGAAAACTGAAAATTGTAAATTTGGAAAGATCAATCTTAAAATTATCATATTCCGAAATTTTGGAAGTGTAAAATTATTTAGGCGACACGAGAGGCGAACCCTAGCCGCCACCAAATCTAGCCACCCTCCTCAGCCTCCTCCCCTAGCAGCCGTCGAGAAATGCACCTGAGGTCATGTCGCTGGCGGGCATCCCCTTGCGTTTTAGTAAATGAATTAGTGCAAAAGGCTTTATGGGGTTAGAGTATCTACAACCGAAACCCCCACTCTCGCCCTATATGTCCGAGCGGATAGCCCGGACATGAGAGAAAGAAGAAAAATCACACCCAACTAGACCACTCATTTCCCCCATATGTCCACATGGTTCAGCACCACTTTCGGCACGTCAACCCAAATCCCACCGACTGCACCAAGACCCCAATTGCAACCACATTTCCCTTTTTCCTCTCTTGTTTTCAATGAGGACATAGCTAAAGGCCAAGGCCAGCGCCCTCCGCCGCTCATGGCCCCGCCCCCTGGATCTAGCGCTAGGGTCGGCGCCCTCCCTCGTTGAAGGCCACACCCAGCGACCGTGTGGTGTGTGTTGATTGGCTGGGTGCACCTGTCGTGTGCTTGCTTGAGTGTGCCGCCGCGTGTTGGTTGTCTGTCCACAATCACCTGCGTACGTGGGTCGTCTGTGTTCTCGTGGCAGCGTCTTGGCGTGCTCTAGGGATGTCACACGTGACATGTTTATTGAAATGTCTAAAATGTAGGGAGGATAATTTGGAGGGCATGGCTTTACACCTGGTCAAATGAGGGTTCGCTGCAGACACTCTCGGAAACTGTCCAGATGTGTCCGCGGTTATTAGAGGGGGCATACTTTTTTTGAAATAGTTTGAATTGCTTACCACATGTGTCATGTGGTTACAACGGAGAAATTTAGCACGAAAGCACGGACAATATCCGTCATGGTTGGTTGAAAATATATGTCCCAATATATACCGGTGGGCGTGCTTGGTGGACCCGCATCACGGCGCAAGAACACACACGTAATGATTTTTTTGTTGACATGTACGTAACTTTCATTGTAGTCCGAACCGAACACTAGGTTTTGCGTGCATCTTCATTACGGGAGTAGGGGTAGTGTGGCCCTCCCTCCCTCTGCTCATACCAATCGCATCCAAACCTAGAGACCGGCCTTATAGAGGGTAGAAAATGACAAGCGATTAATCAGGCGTGACGGCGATGGAGACGGCAGGGATACAGGCGGCAGCAGTGGAGACAGAGATGGAGACGATGGCAGCGGAAGCGACGATCGCCGGAGGCTCCCGTCAGCTGTCCGAGACTGATCAGCCCGGGTCGAGCTCCCTGGCGGCGCTGAAGTGCCAGAAACTCGCCGAAGGCGAAAACACGGATGCCGGGAAGGTGAAGGAGAAGGGGAAGAGGACCGTGAGGGTGACCGAGGAGTACATCGATACGCTGCTGCATCTGGAGCGGGAGAACCCCCTGCCCCCTGCGACATGGACTACCTCGACGGCTGCACCGGTAAGGACTATCTCCGTGCGTCCAAGGCCCTCTGTGCCGAGATGAGGGAGAAGCTGCGACAAGGGAATGCCGACATCCTCGACCAGTACCGCCGTCTTGGCTACACCTATGCCGAGGTGGAGGAGGCCGGCGACGACAAGGAGCTGGACGCCCTGTTTGCCAGGTTGCCGGCTCGATCATCTTGAAGCAATTTCGGTTCAGAGACTAATTAGGGTTAGAAGTTGACCCTACGATGCATCGTAATGACTACTCCCTCCGTCCGAAAATACTTGTCATCAACATAGATAAAAAAATGGGTGTATCTAGAACTAAATTACGTCTAAATACATCTCCTTTTATGCATTTGGATGACAAGTATTTCCGGACGGAGGGAGTATCATATACCTCTCATAACATTTTTTGCGTGTTGCTAAATAGTATTGTCATGATTATGCTATACTGTTTAGCCGTCGTGCTAAACGATAATCACCATCTCTCTGCGCGTTGGCGTGGCATTGGATCTATGTTGGTTCGTGGAGAGTTCTTCAGATACCCTACTGTTGTTTATCTCTAAAGATCTACGTCCGGTCCATCATACATGCGTTTTGAGGCAATTTGCAGCTTGTGCTCTTTGCACTTGTCAGCCAGGTTTTGTTCTTAATATTTGGTTTGCCTTGTTTGAATACTAGGATGAATATCAAACCAAACGGTTGCTACATGAATATAACACATTTTCACTATATTTTGCCCACAACTTTTTACATGCCTCAACATAAACCTTGAGGTACAAGAGAATGAACTGAGTTGCCCTGGTTATGTGGTCTGGGCATCCAGAGAGGTTGCAGAGTCAGCGGGTCAAGACATAATAACATGACTCAACATCAACCTTCACGTGCAAGAGATTGGAACTGGGCTGTTCCTATCACATTGATTAGGATTTTCCTCACAGCTGTTCAAGAAAAGTTTTATAGTCGGAGTATGTCAGTATATGAGAATCAGCGGGGATTACATGTGTGTATGGAGAGACACGGCAGAGAACCGACACCATCTGGCCTTTGATGTAAAATTTGAAAGCACAGTCCGATCTGCCATGTTATGTTTATGGAGGATTTCAACGAAGCTATGTGGTCTTTTCAGCATTTTTCTATGACATCAAGGAATGAAGCTCAAATGCTTGCCTTCGTAGATGTACTTGAAGCATGTGAGTTGACAGATATTGGCTTTTCATGTATTGCACACACATATGATAATAAATGGAAAGGAAGGCGCAATGTAAAGGAGAGACTTGATAGGGTGGTTGCAGACAACAAATGCAAGGGATATTTATTCTGATGCGTCAGTAGTTCATCTGGTGAGCCCATGTTCTGATCATATCCTTGGGAGGGCCGTTTTGGCTCTGGGGTGCATATGCTCCCTAATGAACACTAACTTCAAAACAAATAGTAAATAAAATTTAAAAATTCTAGTTTTTTTGTAGATGTTCATGTTAGCATAACAAATACACTTGACAATTTTCATGTGAAACGGGATGACAGTGCTTCGTCGGTGAAAAAAAAACAAAAATAAGTGTAACATTTGAAGGTAACATTTATCGTTCGACTTATTCTTTTTTTGCTCAGATCAAAATACTTAAACTTTTCTCCTAAAAATTTGCAGCTAGCATTTTAGTGTGACAAAGAACACATCTATTTTTTCCAAATTTTTTGACATTTGCAAAAAAAAAAAAATTGATGGGTAGGAGCATATGCTCCCAAGAGCCGAATTGGATTTATGTCACATCCCTCTCCTACTCAAGTGTGAAAGGGAAGAGGTACAGCAACATTTGTCAAGTATAAGAGATGTAAGATCATGTGGGAAAGAGAAGCTAGTCTAGCTGAAAGGATTGAGTGGGCTTGGGGATAGACCTGGGCACAAAGCAAACATCAGGGAAGCCAGGTTGTGGCTGGGAATCCTCATGGATGAGTTGCACGTTTGGAGTAAGGCCACGTACGGGGAAGTGGTTCGTGAGATAGAGCAAGCTCG